GCATCGGGCTCTGGGTTGACAGCTCAGAGCCTGGAGCCTGCTTCGGATTCTGTGTCTTCCTCTCTGTCTCTGCCCTCCCCTCACTCACACTCTGTATGTCTCTCTCTCTATCAAAAATAAAGAAACATTAACAAAAAGAAACAAAACAAATGAGCGAAGAGGAAAGAGAGAGCGAGAAATCAAGAAACAGGCTATTATTAATAGAGAACAAATTGATGGGCAACAGAAGGGAAGAGGGTGTGGGGTGGGTTAAAGAGGTGATGGGGATTAAGAAGTGTACTTGTGGCGATGCGCATTGGATGTTGTACGGAATTGTTGAATCACTATAGTTTATACTTGAAACTCATATAACATTGTATGTTAACTAACTGGAATTGAAATTAAAACTTAAAAATAGCAAAGGCCAGGCTTCTTAATATGATCACAGGGTTACAGATCTGGTCCTGCATTCACACTAGCTTTTTTTTTTTTTTTTTTTTTTTTTTTTTTTTTTAATTTTTTTTTTCAACGTTTTTTTATTTATTTTTTTTGGGACAGAGAGAGACAGAGCATGAACGGGGGAGGGGCAGAGAGAGAGAGGGAGACACAGAATCGGAAACAGGCTCCAGGCTCTGAGCCATCAGCCCAGAGCCTGACGCGGGGCTCAAACTCACGGACCGCGAGATCGTGACCTGGCTGAAGTCGGACGCTTAACCGACTGCGCCACCCAGGCGCCCCAACACACTAGCTTTATCTCTTGCCAATTCTCCTGGTGTCCAGACCAGCCCCTGCCCCGCCTCCACGCTCTGGCAAGATAGTCGCTTGGTGTGGATTTTCCTGGTCTGGATGTGCTACCCGGTAGACTTCCTCAAGGACGATTTCCTACGATTTTTTTTAACAATCGTGTCTGGACGGCGGACCAAATATTTCCATCTCCAATGTCACAGAGGTAACTGGAGGCTCAGAGAAGCCAAGGTACCTGCCCAAGGTAGCAAAATTAAGAAATGACCAAGCGTCACAAAGGTCCTGTTTTAGGTCTAGAACTCCCTGGAGCAACTGACGGTTGTCTTCAAAAATACATATACATTCTAAAAACAACGTATGTTCGTTATAAGACTTTGTACATAACATTAAGCTATTATTTCAATTCAGTCCAGTCCAGAAAATCTTCAGAGGCTGCTCGCATCAGCTCAAAACAAGATGAGGAGGGTCTGTGTCCTCCTGGTAAGAAAATGCTAGATGTGAAACCAGGGCGACCACAGGGTGATTAGAGTTCAAAGCAGAAATGCTATTTGGGTTTACAGTAAGGGAGTTTAAACTCATCCGAAGGGGCAGGGAAAGCCGGTATAAAGAGCAGAGAATAGGGGCGCCTGGGTGGCGCAGTCGGTTGAGCGTCCGACTTCAGCCAGGTCACGATCTCGCGGTCCGGGAGTTCGAGCCCCGCGTCGGGCTCTGGGCTGATGGCTCGGAGCCTGGAGCCTGTTTCCGATTCTGTGTCTCCCTCTCTCTCTGCCCCTCCCCCGTTCATGCTCTGTCTCTCTCTGTCCCAAAAAAATAAATAAACGTTGAAAAAAAAAAATTAAAAAAAAAAAAAAAAAAGAGCAGAGAATAAAATAAAATCATCTATAATCTCACCAGCTAGAAATAACAGCTGGTGATTTGGGTTATTTTCTTCCAATCTTTCCCCATGCACTTTCTTTAGATTCTTCCCTTGAAGCCCACAGCAGTATTTCTGGACGCTCACTCTCTATAAAATGCTACCTCCTCTCTCCTATATAGTCTCATATACCTCCGAGTGTTTTCTGGAATATTGCTTACATGTGACATTCACATACGGTGCTAAGAAAGGGGTCCATGAGGGGCGCCTGGGTGGCGCAGTCGGTTAAGCGTCCGACTTCAGCCAGGTCACGATCTCGCGGTCCGGGAGTTCGAGCCCCGCGTCGGGCTCTGGGCTGATGGCTCGGAGCCTGGAGCCTGTTTCCGATTCTGTGTCTCCCTCTCTCTCTGCCCCTCCCCCGTTCATGCTCTGTCTCTCTCTGTCCCAAAAAAAAAAAAAAACGTTGAAAAAAAAATTAAAAAAAAAAAAAAAAAA